ACACACACACACACACACACACACACACACACACACACACACACACACCATTCTCAACACCCAGTCTCAGCTTTTGTTCCATTTTGTTTTTCTTGGCTCCAGATTAAAAGGAAGTTTAAGGGCACATTATTATGAAGATCAGCAAGGAAACTGAAATTCTGCTGCACGGCACCACACCACTTCCCACTCTTCATAAGTTGTAGATAAAGAGATAGCTTTTCAGCTGCAAAGAGCCAGAAGGAAGTTTTCTCCACTAAGCAAACAAAACCAGGTAATAAGAGAGCTCACGCTCCCAACTTTTATTGCAAGGTTGGGAAAGAAGAGGTTTGCCTAAAGAGTGCAAGAACAGGTAGGAAATGCATGTAAGAGAAGAGGCAGAAAATACAATAATTGGCAAGTCTTTATTTTGCAGGCGAACAATCTTTGTGCACTCCTTGCTTACTTGGCTGATCTCAAACACAAAGACTACATACACATGGGCAAAGTAGGGCAGAGCAGATCAGTTGACAAAGACATTAGTGGATCATCATGGCTTGTTAAATAGCAGGTCCCCTGTGATGGCTTTCGAAAGTATCCAGTGATGTCAACGTTGACACCATTCCTGAGAACTTTTAAAAATGGAAGGTTCTGGGTGAATTGAAGTTATTTTAATCCATATGGCAGTCATAGAACTATCTTCTAAAAAAAAAAAGTATCAATGAGTTTAATAGGAGTTCAGTGGAAATTGCTATTAAGTCTGCTTCCTAAAATTATCTTACCGTTTTTTTCAGGTTCTACATACATGCATATGTTGTTACTAAGAAACATCCGAAATGGACCCAAAGAGCAATAAGATTTGGGGTATGTGTCAATATTGTGTACGTCAGGGTTCCTCAATCTATGGTAGTCCTTATTAATAAATTGGGCGGCTGTTATCGTCCCTAAGCAGGGGTGGGATTCAATTTTTTTAACAACCGGTTCTGTGGGCGTGGCTTAGTTGGTAGGCGTGGCTTATTGGGCATGTGACTGGGTGGGCATGGCCAACTCAACGTCACTCACATTGAGGCACGCATCTCCTCGCCTGGCCTCTCATGACAGTGGGGATGCTGCAACGGTCGTAAGTATAAAAAATGGTCATAAGCCACTTTTTTCAGTGCCATTGTAACTTTGAATAGTCACCAGTTTTAGAACAAAACTCAAAAAGGGTATGTAAACTCACATTTGAATGTCAATCTTTCTAGCTAGCCAAGAAGCCTTGCTGAATATCACTCATCTTGGTTCCTTGTCATTAAAAGCTTCTTTCTGCTTCATTATTCAATTATTTCTTCAAAGTGCTAACTCCAACAGGGGAGTATTTCCTCCCAACAGCAGTGTAAAAAGCTTAAAACAACCATTCCCCTTTAAGAAAGTAAAGCAAAGAAAAAAAGAAAAAGAAAAAAAAACCTCCTTCAGACAAAGTAAGTCTAGGCATACTGCCAAGAATGTAAGAAGGGTGGAAAAAAACAAAAGAATATTTCTTCCAACAACCGGTTCTCTGAACTGCTTGGAAAGTTAACAACCGGTTCTAGCGAATAGGCGAGAACCTGTAGAATCCCACCCCATCCCTAAGAAGCATGCCATGCTGCCTGTGAAAAACAAAGGTTACTTACTAAATCTGAAGGATACCAGGATGGGTCTAGTTCAAAATTCAAACTTTTATTGTCAATCCACAACATGTGTACAATGAAATTGAATGAGCCTCCCTTGGTGCAGCCCACCCAAGAACATGGAATACATCTCAATGAATCAATAAATAATAAAGAAATCTCTAACCCTTGATAAGTAATAAACTAGCACACATTCCCCATACTAGAATGTGTACTAGTCATACTAAGGTCTAGATCTAGAATCGGAATAATTTGGTAACCATCTATCCAGATTCTAAGACAGAATAGTGACCAGGAAATCTATATATATAAAAGCAAAATACCACTCATGCATCATCACAAAATCTCCAGAACCGTAAAGCCTACAAAC